TGAACAGTGAGATGTTTGGGCGCTGAAGTCGCCATAGCCAATTGAGAGTGAACTCGTATCTGAAAGCCATATCTCTGAGTTTTGAGTGGGCGCATGTCGCCAGTATGCTGCATTGCTGTTTACAAGCATGAAAAGTGTGTTTGAAAACGAGTCTGATTGCAGGGTTGTCTAATAAATTATTATAGAGAGAGAGCATGTCCGGACCCCCCCAAAAAGCATAAATGGGACGGAAAAAACCCCAAAACAATTTTCGGGGCTTGGCTCCTCAATGGGGAAGGGTCCTGGACCTTTTTTTTTTTAATCGAAATTTGGCAAATCCGGACCTTCCAGACCGGACGTCTGGGGTCCGGACTGAATCCAGACCGTCTGGACGGCGGTCCGGACGTCCGGATCGTAGCCATGAAAATATACATTATTAATTTATTATCCATTTTTAGACCGCTTGTACACAGTACGGAAATGAATTCTGGGCAGGAATAGAGGGGCGGGGGGGGGGGGGGGGGTGGGGGGGGAGAGAGAGAGAGAGAGAGAGAGAGAGAGAGAGAGAGAGAGAGAGAGAGAGAGAGAGGGGAAAGGGCCGGGGGGGGGGGGGGGGGGGGGGGGGGGGGGGGGGGTATGCCCAACCACCGTCTTCACTCGAATAGAACATATGGTCAGTATCGCTTTATCTAGACTAAACGTTGTGCCCCAGATACAGCAATATTGACCCATAGGTCCCATTCGGGGCAGGATTGTAGCAGAGCATAGTTTCTGCGCACGCAATTGGTCGCTGCCACATGATCTGAAAATCCAAAGGTGATGAAGTATGCGGACAGGGACCTTCAGTTTAGAAAATATGCGATGCCTGTGCCTGTGCATGTACCTGGGATCGATCAGGGGACCTGTGACTGACTGAAGCCACTCTGGCAACAATATGGCCGCGGAGTCTCGAACAAGAGACCTCTATTGTCGGCGACGGTAGCTGAGTATTATGTTTTTGGGGTCTTTACGACCGGTTTCGGGAAGCTTCGACTGGGACCCGACACGAAGCGGGTTCTGTGACCGGCAATCTCAGAACCGGCCAGGTACTTTGTACGGAGGAGTGTGTTTTGTTAGTGTGTAAGCACCCTTTGAGTAGTACTGCAGTTGTTCTACCGACATGTATACCGGCCCGACGTGGGAGGAAAATACCCCCCCCCCCCCCCCCCCCCCCCCCCCCCCCCCCCCCCCCCCCCCCCCCCCCCCCCCCCCTCAGGGTCATTATGAAGAACGTCCCACATCTCTTAAGCCAGACTGGTCACCAGTCCATAGAATGGACACCAAGTAAACCAACAGCAAAAAGAAACAAAGAAAAAAAATGGATTAAAGGGCCCCAAATCCCCAAGGCAAAAGTGTGTTTTCATGCAAAATTCTCTTTTGAATCTTTTCAGTTTTTCAGGATTTTATTTTTTTGATTTTTTTTTTTTTTCCCGATTTTCAGGATTCTCAGGGCTGGCCAAAACAGTGATCTGCAAGACCCAGCAAACACCAAGCGTGGCACACACAGACCTCTTTTTCGAACTGTAGTAGCCTCGTGTGTAGGACGTTTTCGCGTTTCTCGCTCGTGTGCGTGCTCTGGATGCTGCTACCTCCGGCCTTACGGTGTTTTTTCTGTTTTGGTTTCGGCATTTTCACAGCACTTTGACGTTTTGCGACTAAGTGGTCAAGTCTTTTGTGTTCAATGGTTTGAATTATCTCGCTGTGGGTTTACCATTAAGTAAACAGTACATCGAACTCATTTACCAAAAATAAAACAGGGCCAAAAAAAAAAAAAAAA